TAGATCAGCACAGGAAAGCCAACCTGGAACCATTTTGATTCCTAAACTGAGCAAATGTTTCTCTGCAAGGTTAAACTGGAAAAGCCTCCCCATTGTCTCTTTCCTCACAAATCCTGTCTCAAGGATATGTCTGTTTCAATAAGGTGTGAGCCTGTGACCTGGCCCAGGAAATAAGTATTTTACCACTACAAAAGATTGGCCAGGCTCCCCGGGAAATCCAATCAAGTAACTTGCCAGACAGGAGATAAACTGTGACAGGAGAAAAAACATTACATCTTGAACAACATTTAAATTTCTGTGATGTAGGTGGGATGTATCTGAGGGGTGGTCTTAGGTTACACCCCTTCTGTGATGTATGCATAATGTTTCTGGGGGTGGTCTTGATCTAGAGAATGGGAATTTCAAAACTCTTTATAAGGTCTTGCACACCATCTTTCTGGGTCCTCCTCCTCTCCTGCATGTGAGGGAGTACCCTGTTGCAACAGATCAATAAAGATCAAGCTTACTAGCTGCTTTGCTTCTCAATATTCTCTGGTTGGCCTCTGTTATTTTCTCCTACCAATAGGGAACCTATGTAAGGACTCTATATGGGCTCTTGGGTACCCCATAAGGGAAAAGGGCATATTTTTATTTACAACAGCAGCCTCACACCTAGATTTTTCCATAACAAATAAAAGGACACATTCTACTCATGTAAAAACACGCTGATTCCTGGACCATCTGCGGGCCAGATTTAGAAGGTGATTGGGCCAGATCTGGCCCCCGGGCCTTAGTTTGCCTTCCCATGGCATAAAGGATAGCCACAAAGGATGGCAACAGATCTTGCTTCCCATTGCATTTACCATTTTTACCTGTCTGAAAAGTGGTACTGCTCTGTAACCTGAAGGATAACTGTTATCGGGAAAATAAATAAAAGAATTGTTCACGTCACAAAAATTGTGCCTTCTGTAATGAAAGAAGAGCTCAGCCCACTAACAACAGGAGAAACATCCATACATCCATGTTAGTTTACACATAAAGATCAACATATGCCAGCCAGTGTTCACATAGGTACCCAAGAAAAGTTGGTGTTTATAAAAAGTGCTTTCAAATGTAGCAAGTACGGTAAATAATTTCTGACCAGCTAAACTGATTCACACACACTAATAATATCCTAGTTATTGTGTTTTTATCACACCCTGCCACCAACAAACTCAACCTGGTTCTCCCTCTCCTATTTTATTCTCACAACAACCCTGTGATGTAGGTCGGGCTAAAAAAAAAAAGTAAGCTCCATGGCTAGAAGGAAGGGGAGATGAAAATAATTGTACCATGTACAGAGGTTTTGTATGAGTGTATTAAAATAATCATAAATATTGATTAAAATGCCTTGGGGGGACAGCAAAAAATGACTGTCATGAGCAACAAGAAAGTGCTATCACCAAATAAAAGAAACCTGGTTATGTATATCTGCTATTAAAATCTGTTGGTTTTATCTACAATTTGGAGATTTTATTGAATGTCTGGTTTTTCTTACTATTTTTAAATAAAATTCCCTATCTTGTTTTTTAATTTCATATGATGTTTTCTGCTTTCAGTTGAACGATATATACAGATTGCTAAATAAATAAACTTCTTAGCGTGCCAGAATTAACACTTATACAGAACTGGCTCAGAAAAAAATAATAATTAAGCAACCCTCATTTTGCCGTGACTCGGATTCGAACCGAGGTTGCTGCGGCCACAACGCAGAGTACTAACCACTATACGATCACGGCGTGCTACGAGGATCTTCCTGCTAAAGCGACTCTTGCTAGCTCTGATAGCGCAATGGAACTTCCATGTACAGAGGAATTGTATCTCTTTAAAGACCTGCTGCCTAGCAACCAAAGTTATCGGCGCGCAGAAGTTCGTTTCTTTTATGCCATGCTTGTGCGATTTCACAAAACCATCTGGCTCCCCACAGTGGAAGAGGCTGGGGGCAGATTCTAGGTCAAATGGATCTGTGATCTGATCCAACAGGGTTTGTAAGTAAGTAAATAAAAGTAATAATAATCGTGTAGTCCCTCTCAGGAATCTAATGGCAGGATTCTTTTAAAAACAATACAGTAATAATAATAATAATAATAATAATAATAATAATAATAATAATAATAATAATAATAATAATAATAATAATAATTTTATACCACGCCCATCTGGCTGGGTTTCCCCAGCCACTCTGAGCGGCTTCCAACCGAATATTAAAAACAAAATGCACTGTGTGATCAGTGCAAGAAACCCACATTAAAGTATTCACGCATGTTCCACGGGAACACGCACGTCTGAAAGTAGCCAAACCACTGCGGGTCTCAACGTGTCCACAAATCATCCCTCATCTCAAAACAGGAAGCAGAGTTTAGGTTCAAGCCGAAAGAACTGCCCTGTGCAATCCGAAACCTTGCCTCCTGGAGCTCATTGAGGAAACGTTGGGGTGAGATCTCAAGGAATTGTAATTCCTTCCCTGACCCAATAGATTTCCTTGCTTGTTTCTTTCCTAGGCGGCGGGTTAGGATACAGAGTTGCACAGCGTGTACAAAACTCCAGATGGATTATTTTTCCCCTCCCGCTATACGGGTGGCTGCAGAAGCATTTCACTTCCAAGGCAAAATTAGCAGGCAGGGAGTCTTTGCAAGGCGAGCGTGAGAAAGGTTTCTCAAGCCTTAATCAGAATGTAAAGCCGAGACGGGAGCAGTGTTTTTAGGAATCTTAATGAAGACTGAATACTCGTGCAGCAGAGTGGCGCAGCGGAAGCGTGCTGGGCCCATAACCCAGAGGTCGATGGATCGAAACCATCCTCTGCTAGCTCAATATTTTTTTCCTCGTCCCAAATACAGTTTCTGGCATTTTTATTTTATTTACAGCACTCTGCTGTACAATTCCTTGCCTTTCCATCTTGCTACCTGATTGGCTCTCGCATTATTTCTTCCGTGTATGAAAAAGCACCTCCTCCCCCCCAAAAAGTGGGCATTTGGGGAAAATGTTGGCTCAAAGAAATTGCAAAAGAGCTTGACGTTCCTTTATATTGGCAGCTCTAAAGATACCATAATGATACAGTGTACAATAAACTGAAGCAACGATCAGCGTGTGGTATGTAGTGCAAAAAAAAAAAATGTTGTTGGCTTTGGAAGAAATAAAAGGTTTCTTGAAAGAGTAAGCAGTGAAGAGAGAGAAAAATTCTGCGCCCAACGTGGGGCTCGAACCCACGACCCTGAGATTAAGAGTCTCATGCTCTACCGACTGAGCTAGCCGGGCTGCTGAAAGCACTAGTTTGAATCACCCATCTATATAGCGTTACTCCAGAAGAGAGTCAGTTTACGCATAAATTATATTTCAGTTGGATTTCTTTCTTTATTTCAATCCCGGGCACGACTCTCATTCTGGGTTTTATTTTTATTTTAAACTGGAGATGCGCGTTTTGCAAAGCCACTTAAGAGATCACAGCACCCAGGGTTATTTTTGAGCTGTAGGGTGGGTGAGCTAGTCGCTGACCAATGTCTGTGTGTTAGCTGGCACACGAACAAAAAGGGTGTCTGTGCTTGAGGTTTACCTGCTTCCATTTGCTTTTCCTTGTGTTGGGTCTTCTAGATTACAAAACTGCGGGCAGGAGGGTATTTTATAAATGACGTTTGAAAACTAGCCGGGGAAGTTCGTGGTGTTCTGCTTTCTTTGTTGAGAAAAAAATGTTTTAGGCGAGGACACAAAAGAAACTTGCCCTCTCTGAGGATCGAACTCAGGACCTTCAGATTATGAGACTGACGCGCTGCCTACTGCGCTAAGAAGGCACCTGATAATACTTAGGCGGCTTCGTTCTGAAAGGATACAAAAGCTGCCAATCAAACATCAAGAGGACCACGTACAAAGTATTACCAGTTACAGATAGGTAGCCGTGTTGGTCTGCCATAGTCAAAACAAAAAAATTCCTTCCAGTAGCACCTTAAAGACCAACTAAGTTAGTTCTTGGTATGAGCTTTCGTGTGCATGCACACTTCTTCAGATAAAGTATTACCACTTCTCTATATTTAGAAAGCGCACAATTTGGGACCCTAAATAAGGCTGCAATCCTAATCTGAGAGTAAGATCTATTGAATTCAATAGGATTTACTTTTGGATTACACTGTAAATGCACTTGGGGAGAAAGCACTTAAATTACTCTATTGTCCTACCTATTTAATATTTTCACAGAGCAATCCTATGCATGATTGCTCAGAAATAACCCCCACTGAATTCAAAGAGACTTCCTCCCAGGTAATTGCGCATAAGGATTGTGTTAAAAAGCTGGCGGCGAATAGGTCGAAGACAATCTCCTTTTTTTGTTTGGATCCTGTGGACAACATGACCATGACTATGGGCGCAACCAGGATTTATGTTAACAAGCGTCATGTTGCGGGAGAGGCAGAAGATGAGCAAATTCTAGAATTTCAGACATTAACAGAAAAATAGTTAGGTCCACGAAAGCTTATCCCAAAATCTCTTTATGGTGCTCCCTGAAAGCGGAAGTGGGGGGGGAGACGTTTTCCTGGTTACAGTTGCCTCATTTCTTTGACGGAAACTTCCGTACTTGGATGTGATTGGTCCAAATTCTTTTTTGAAAAGTCCCGCGCTTTTTACGATTGGTCCAAACTGTTTTCAAAATTCCCGCGCTAAAATACTAGCCAGTTAAGTCTCTGCCGCTTCGGCTCCCTTTTCTTTATACCGTACTGCTGGAAGCGGGGAAAAAAGATTCTGCTACATTATAACATCAGAACTTTTGTGCCGAACTGAAAATTTGAATCAGATTCAAAGTGTTACTTGGGTATCAGTTGTACTTGTTACAGTAATGTACAAAGCTCCCTTTCCGTAACTGTATTCAACTTGCCTTCTTACTGGAAACATTGCACCCCAAAGTACAGCTCTTTGTGTTACTGGTGTATTTTTTAAAAAAAATTCACACCCACCAATCTCAATGAGCTTTATATTCATTTAATGTATTGTTCGGGGAAGATACCGCAGCCTGCTACGTATAGGGGCCGTAAAACCCATCTAGCAAAAGCGAACGGGAGGACCATAATTTTATAAACTATTTACTCTTCCTCAAGGCTTCGCATGGGTTTTTACATCTCGCAAGTAGTAAGAGAAAAATCAGCTCTTTTTATGAAGTTGTAGGTGGCTCTTAAAAGAGCCTTTGGGTTGTTGGGCTTTTTTACTTTTTAGCGCCTTTCTTCTTCCTTTATTTTCCTTTGGCCTTGTGGCTCTCGGTTTTCTTGGGCAACAGCACAGCCTGGATGTTGGGGAGGACGCCTCCCTGAGCGATAGTGACTCTGCCCAGGAGTTTGTTCAGCTCCTCGTCGTTGCGGATGGCGAGCTGCAAGTGGCGAGGGATGATCCTGGTCTTCTTGTTGTCCCGGGCAGCGTTGCCGGCCAACTCCAGGATCTCGGCAGTCAGGTACTCCAGCACAGCAGCCAAGTAGACGGGAGCTCCGGCCCCGACGCGCTCTGCGTAGTTCCCTTTGCGCAGAAGACGGTGAACACGACCCACGGGGAACTGGAGTCCGGCACGAGAAGAGCGAGTCTTGGCCTTGGCCCGAGCTTTTCCTCCTTGCTTGCCGCGTCCAGACATGGCGATGACGTTGAAAGTATTCACACAAACAAACTCCTCCGATGCTGAATGAAGCTACGGTGCCCGATTCCGCTCCTTATATACTTTCCCCTGGTTTTGAGATTGCACGTTCTGATTGGTCAGCCTCTGGAACTCAATGCCCAATGACCGTGCAGGATGCCGGCGGCAGAAGGAATTCTGAAACGCAGCCAATGAGAGAGGACGCGGGAAACGGTTGGCCAATGAGAGCTCACCGGCGCGCAGAACAAAATTCCGGACCACGCCCCTCTCTTTTTCTTTTGCGTCTGCGAGGATTGTAGCCAATTGTGACACGAGCGTTTCGATACCTCATTTGCATAAGCGTCCTATAAATAGGAGAGCGCGCAGCGCGGCTGTTACTCGACTTTCTTTCCTTCGGTGCTGTCGGCAGAAAGTTGGAAGATGCCTGAGCCAGCGAAATCCGCTCCCGCAGCCAAGAAGGGCTCCAAGAAGGCCATCACCAAGACCCAGAAGAAGGGCGACAAGAAGCGCAAGAAGAGCCGCAAGGAGAGCTACTCCATCTACGTCTACAAGGTGCTCAAGCAGGTCCACCCGGACACGGGCATCTCCTCCAAGGCCATGAGCATCATGAACTCCTTCGTCAACGACATCTTCGAGCGCATCGCGGCCGAGGCTTCCCGCCTGGCGCACTACAACAAGCGCTCCACCATCACCTCCCGGGAGATCCAGACCGCCGTCCGACTCCTGCTGCCCGGAGAGCTCGCCAAGCACGCCGTCTCCGAGGGCACCAAGGCCGTCACCAAGTACACCAGCTCCAAGTGAGCTTCCCCGGAGAACTGATTATTGGGCTTCCCAAAAAGAAAACCAAAGGCTCTTTTAAGAGCCACCTACTTTCGCAGTAAAATGAGCTGATATTGCTAAGCATCGCCTCTTTTGGTTAACCAGAGATACTAAATAGCTTGGGACGTGACTTGAAGGTAGATCTGTAGTGGTAAATTCTGTTTCATGCTACTTGAAAAAGTTGAGGAATTGCGCTATAGAGTTTCTGGAGCGTTTTCTGTGCTGCTCGGTTTCAGATCCCACTCTGCAATGTGGGAAATGCTGCCAGGCAGAAATTTACTGTCTTAACTGATTTGTAGAATGTTGCATCTTATTCAACATACAGATCCCAGAAAATCTTGTAACTACCCCATAATTCAGGAAGTCACCCTAATTTTGCAAATAGGTTTATTCTAGGTCTGGTTTTTTTTCTTCAGTACTTAACAATGTCCCTGCCATCTCTGACTTTGAGCCCTACCTACTGAAGACTTTCCGTTTCCAACAAGCCTTTTAAGTATAGCTCTTCCCCAGTCTACACCTGTACTGTTTTGGAATTCTTTTTAGGTGTATGTTTTTATTTTATCGTCTGTTTGCTGCCCTGGGTTTCTTTTGGGGGCAAGATAATTATAATTATTATTTATTTCACAACATTTATGCACCACTTGATTGTAGTAAAACATCCAATCAGTTCACAAAAAGTTTAAAAGTATCTAAACATCCAACAAATAATTAAAATCAATAGTAAGCTAAAAACAAACCAAATTAAAACAAATTTTGACATCTGACATGTCTCAATAGGCTTGCCTAAATAAAAAAATGTTTTTAGCAGGTGCTGAAAAGAGTTCAGTGAAGGCACCTGGTTGATGTCAATAGGCAAGGAGTTCCAATGTGTGGGTAATCATTTTTAGAAGTAAATACTGTACAAATTAGTAGAGGTCCAGAGTGACTATATAATTTGGGATGGTTTAAAGCTCTTGAGGACATAACAGAAGAGCCTGGTCAGGTTAAAGGCCTATTTGGCACAGCATTCTGCTCCCCACAGTGGTCAGCCTGAAGTATTCAGCAATCCCATAATAAAGAGTGCCCTAAAACAGCACTGCTACTGTCTTCTTTGGCGATCATTCGTAGCCAAGTAAGATTGTCTTCCATGAACACAGTCTTAACAGTGAGTCCGTAAGTGACTGTGGAGGCCAATTCTGGATCCGGGCGGGAGTTGATCATGGTGAGAGTTTGCCAAGCGTGCCTTCCTCTTAGCACATTTCTCCTTTTCGTCCAGAGTCTGAGCGTCTTCAGAGTCTATGACACCTTTCGTAAAGCCTGTTCTCCAACTGGAGCACTCGCAGGCCAGTGTTTCTCAGTTGTCAGTGTCTATATTACATTTTTTTTAGATTTGCCTTTTTTGGTTTTTTTGAGCCTCTTTTGTTGACCATCAGCATTACGTTTTCCATTTTTAGCTTTGGAATAGAGTAGTTGCTTTGGAAGACAATAACCAGGCATCCACACAACATGACCAGTCCAATGAAGTTGATGTTGAAGAATCCTTGCTTCGACACTGGTGATATTTGCTTCTTCCAGTACACTGGCATTAGTTCGCCTGTCTCCCCAAGATATGTGTAAAAAAATTCGGAGACACGGTTGATGGAATCTTTCAAGGAGTTGGAGATGGCATTTGTAAGTGGTCCATGTTTCACAAGCATACACTAAGGTTGCTAGTACAATAGCTTTGTAAACAAGCATTTTGGTTTCCCTGCGAATGTTCCTAAAACAGCACTGCTACTGTATTTCCTCACTATCCCCACTCCCATATCTGAAGCTGGAGGTTCCATTTAGTTTCCATAACTGGTAGCCAGTGTCAGGCATGTCTAAGCCACTGATAATCTGTCACCACATTTATGTTGATGAATTACACAAACGGCTGGACTTCTGTTTGCCCTGAATCTACCGCTGATCAGTTTCAATGTCTACCTTTATGAGACAGGGAGCAAGAGCATCTTTCAGCTGCTTTGAGAAACAGCTGCTTGGAGGAGATGGAAAAAAGGCCCATTAGCCAGCAGCCCGGCTAGCTCAGTCGGTAGAGCATGAGACTCTTAATCTCAGGGTCGTGGGTTCGAGCCCCACGTTGGGCGGAAATTTTGGAGGATGGGGAAGCCGCAATAGGCTTAACTAATAAAGGACTCCCATACCAGAAGCCATGAAGATATTTGAATTAGCATTGCTGACCAATGGTCTGATTTGGTGGAAGGGGGCTTATTCCTACTACCTAGGGTGATATATACGAATCTTTTTGCAGAGAAAATCTAAATGCGTCCCACAGTGAAATGTTTGGCTTAGTTCAGGGGCGAGGAGCCTGCGGCCTTCTCATCTTGTTACGGGACTCTAATCCACCCCAAACAGCATGTCCAACAGGCAGGAATTATATCTGGAAAGCAAAATCTGAAAAGCCAACAGCTTTCCACACCCTCGGATTAAATCTGTACATGCTGTATAGAACCTTTTCTGTAAACCTATTGCTTAGTGTGAAAGTGACAAAGGAGGTCCTTCTCTCAGCACAGGGAAGGCTTAAAACATCACTTAAACACAAGAAAGCATGGAGGCTGTTTCAAACATGCCTCTGAATACCAGTTTCTCGGAGCTACAGAAGGGGGGAGTGTTGCTTCACTCAGGTCTTGCTTGTGCGTTTATTCACGTGGGAACAAGATGCTGGAATAGATGGGCCATTGGCTTGATCCAGCTGGGTTCGTCTTACGTCCTAACCCCCCACCCCAAATTATACTTTCTTTTTGAGCTGCTAAGAATGGGTCAGCAAAAGACGTGTTCAGCAGCCTCTGAAGAAGGAATTAACTCTACGCATAAATATCTTAGTTTAGAAATACACTTTTTTGTTTTTCAAAAATACCATGCCCTCTCTGAGGATCGAACTCAGGACCTTCAGATTATGAGACTGACGCGCTGCCTACTGCGCTAAGAAGGCACCTATCATTAAACAGTCCCAGTAAGCCTGACCAGGATGTAAATTTGCTATTTTAGTAAATAATTAACTAACTAGTATTTGTTTCGTTTGAAGTTTCTGGAATGACATCGCGTTTATAATCTGAATTATCTCCCTACACTGAAAACGTAACAGATCTCAACGGAGTGGAGGGCCTCTATTATAACCACAGAGCGGGAAAGAAATTAGTTTTATGCACCAGAGATAGGCGTCTGAAGAAACACCCATTGGATTACACAATACAGTTTCCCATTCAGCTCCCTCCAGGATTTTGTCAAAAAATAAACGAAAGCATGAGAAAATCGGAGAGAATTAACGATACTGCATTGCAAAAGGTTCCAAAAATAACCCATTGGCCCGTACGGGGATCGAACCCGCGACCTTGGCGTTATTAGCACCACGCTCTAACCAACTGAGCTAACCGGCCAGTTACGAAAGAGTTGTTTCCTGGATAGCTATTGAATGTAATAGGGGATGTTAAAATCGTGAAAGCGAACGCTAGATGGCGAAATCACACTACTGAACTTTACTCTCGCCTATCAACACACGCCATTATGCTTACATAAATAGAGCACTCGATATTCCTATTTCAAGCTTTATTTCAGATCAAACAAATCAACCAGGAAGTCGAATTTCACATTTGCCCGAAACGTGGGGAAAAACGGGAGAGAATGAGAGAGAGAGAATGTGTGTGTGTGTGTGTGTGTGTGTGAGAGAGAGAGAGAGAGAGAGAGAGAGAGGAAACGATAAAACACCGAAACAGAATGATTTAAGCAGTTTTATTCTGTGCTGATCTGCAAGCTGCTTAGTCTTATAATGATGTCAGTAATTTTGGGGGTATTAAAACTGCAATTAACTGCGATAGCGGACAGGGGTGTGTGAATTGCACGCAATCAATTTTCATTGAAGGATAGCTATCCACAGTGCACCCAAAAAGGAGAAGGAGAAGAATATCTCCAACCTGTTCTTTGGCAAAGGCACCAAAAGTAACGCTTTGTCAGAAGTGGGATTCGAACCCACGCCTCCAGGGGAGACTGCGACCTGAACGCAGCGCCTTAGACCGCTCGGCCATCCTGACAGTTGTTAATCGCCCTTTGCTGTGTTGCAGTATTAATAATTTGTTATTATGTAATTCTGTTCCAGTTTTAAACCGATAAAATATGTATAATAATCATTGAACCGCTGGGATAACAAATGACTGTCTCTTTCTTCTATCTCAGAACTATTAGGGCTCTAAGTTAGCGGCACCAACCTGGAAGGCTTTGAACGATGGTAAGTCGCAGTAGCTACGTTCTCTCTGCCCTGTTGGAGGCAGTGGGTCTGATTACTGCGAATCACAAGTGGGGAGAATGCTGTGCACCCCCCCCTCGATCTCCTCCCCACCTCCTGCTTTTGGGCTCCCCATTGGCCCCATGGCTGGGCCAATGTAAGGACAGGTTGCCGGACAAGGTGGGCCACTGTGGCCCGATGCAACAGTTGGCCTCTTACCTTTCCGGGAGGAAACAAAGGGAAGGACAATGTGCCAAGAACCTGCAGGCTTGCTATGCCAAATCACACTACACTACTCCTGAAACAAGGCACTCTCAGAGCCCGGATAGCTCAGTCGGTAGAGCATCAGACTTTTAATCTGAGGGTCCAGGGTTCAAGTCCCTGTTCGGGCGGCTGAATTTTTTTAAAATTCTTTTTTTGTTCGCTTTGCATGTTTGTCTTTACCTTTTAAAAGAGATTGCTTTGAATCCTCCCCAAATAGTTTAAAAAATATATAATAAAATCAAAGAAGTGCCCTTTTCGATAATCAGGTATGTTTTGTTCTTTCATTTCCGTATCTGGCTAAGCAGCCCCTCCCCCTCCTTTTCCCTAACGAAGCATGTATATATAGAAACACAAGAAACACATTTTAAAAAATATGTTGGCCGTTGGAAGGAGGCCTCTTTTAACGATGAATTTCATTCAGCTCAGCTTGCGCGTTTATAAACCGCAAGGCTTTGGTTTGCAACCACTTCTGATCACAGTGAATTGCAAACGTAGCAATTAGTGAATCCGAATGATTTTTAAAAGCATCCTTTCCTTTTCTTCTTGGATCACATTTCGTGCATCACATTTCATTAGGGCTTGTTTTTAAAAAGCTGCGGGATTGTTTGCACCTTTTTCTGTCAAAGCAAAACAAATTAAACTGTGTGAGGGGGGTGGGGCGGGGTTGGGGTCCCCCATCGAATACTATCACGGTCCATGAGCTTGCAGCGAAATCTTAAGCAAGCTTACTCAGAAGTAGATCTAGCGTTCAATGAGGATACGTAAGTGTCAGGTTTTGAGCCACAAAGTCTTTTTCTGCTATATATATAAAATCGCATTTGGGTGATGCCCCACTCGCATTGCAAGCCTCAACCATGTCTACTGCTCAGAAGTAAGTCCTATTTAATTAAGTGGGGCTGCTTCACCCCCATTTACGTGGGAGCGAGCCCCGTTGAATGCAATAGACTTTTAAATTTATTTTTAAAAATGCTTGTATACTGCAATTTCATTCAAAAAACAACACAAAGCGATTTACAAGAATTATATATACAATAAAAAAACCCCACACAAATCAACGGCTAACTATTACAGAAAGACATATTTTTTCAATGCCTTTCATGAGTAATCATAGTTAAGTTTGCACTGCACGAGTGGACCCTGATATAACCCATTGATTGGCGTCTTCCTTTCCCTGAAGGGGAAACAGAGTTATTTAAACAAAAGACTTCTGTCTCCAGGCATCTAAACTGGAAGCTATTGCAGCTATTTGAGACTCGAATTGCCTGCATATTAATTTAAAGGAGGTATTTGTCTTCTTCCACTTTGCTACCAAATTAAAATGTCACCCTCAAAAAAAAAAAAATCAAGCTTAGCAGAGGATGGTTTCGATCCATCGACCTCTGGGTTATGGGCCCAGCACGCTTCCGCTGCGCCACTCTGCTCCATGAGGCTGGGGTTTGCATTACATTCCTAAATAGTCGTTGCTGCGTATTACAAAGCAATGAAAGACTGTCAATTGAAATAGGACCATGGATTTGAAACGATGCGGTGCATTTTAGAGCCAGCGAATTTTGACGAGCAATTCTGGGTCTAAAACATATTGACTTCCTCACCTTTGCATACTGATGGGCATTGGGAGGGGGAAGGTTGGCTTTGAATTGAATTTGCAAATTCCCCAAATGTGAGGTGCTAAAAAGTTGAAACATGACTTGGCAATACAAAAGATATTGGTTATATTAATATAATTTAGGGGTTTTTTCTTGGTAAGTAAAATGCATGTAAAATTGCATAGAAATATTTAAAAAATGATTGCCCAAAATATGCAGTTATATTATATATCCATATGTCTTTATATCTATATATCGATATATATAGATATAGATATATTCTTTCTTTCTTTATATTATTATTATTCAGCATTACCTGACATTTTCAGAAGTTAAAATTAAAATTCTTTGGTTCCCCAAAAGCAGTTTATATGCTTCCTCATCATTTACCAAACTAAATGCTGCCCAATAGCAGATTTGAGTTCTTCCCAAGCAAAAACATATTTTTAAGACCCCCTTCACTGACAAATCTTGCGAAAATTAAGCTTCATCCCCTAAAATGGCATGGCCTAGGCTCACATTCCTTTGGCGCCACTCTTGAATGCAGCCGCCTGTCACTGCCAGTGCTGGTTTTCTGTATTCATACAAGGCAACAGCATAGTGGCAAACTCAAAAGTGTTGGGTCCCTTCATGAGAACTGCAGCCACAGCTGTTCTAAGATCATACAATAATCTTCTAATTATACATTTAATAAAAATTAGGAGTGTGTTGCAACAATCCAGGCAGATCTCCATGTGTTGCCCTTCAGCTTGATGTGCTATTTTCTGTGCGCATACATGATTTGGAGTGCTCCAATATCTTATTTTGGAGTGACTTTAAGTTGTTTTCCGTAAATCTCCACTTTAAGTAACAGATCTTGAAGTACCTTCTTCTGAAACTGAAGCACCTTGTATTTTCAGTGTTCCCAAATGCTTAGCTTTGGGGCATATAGTGGCTTAAAAGATCCCTTTTCATGCTGGCTGATAGGATAGGAGTCAGGAATACAATGAAATATGTGTAGTATTCCCCACATGAAGTGTACATTGGGGTCATCAACATGGTGGTGAATTGCCTGAATTTTCCGAGCATGAATCCCTATGTGGGGGGGGGGGATCCACAAAGGAGGTATCAGCAGGCTCAAGTGAAATCCCAGGTACGTAGATGTACAAAACAACTTTAGGGGAGAGACTTCGTCAGCCAAGGCCTCTTTCCACCTGCCTTGCTCCACCCTCTAGTCTCGGTTTCTCAATTTTTTTTTGTTTTTTTTTTGTTTTATTGATTATAGTTTAGAAATTATTTATTGTAACTGTTGAGTGGATTTCTGTTTAACTTTTATGTGTTGATATTATTATTATTTTATATTACCCTAATGATTGTTGAATGTTACTTTTGTGATGTAGGTTATTTTAAAGTTACGTTTTGTGTTGTTTTTATGGTGTGAGCCGCTCTGAGCCTGGCCTCGGCTGGGGAGGGCGGGATACAAATAAAAATTTATTATTATTATTAGAAAGAAAAACTGAGGGGACCACAAAACACCGATGAGGTCTGGACATGCTCAGTAGCTGTGGAAAGTTGACCAACTGCTGCAGGCCAAGGGAAGGGAGGTACTGGCATCCAGAACAAGGGCTTTCCACACTGCAACATTTTCTTGCAGGTCCCACTCATGAACCTCAAAACTGCACATAGGACCATTTATAAGCAGAGGTTTTCCCTAGTCATCATTTCTCACAATGCACAAAAAAAATTCTCACAAGTGCCAAAAATCTGTAGAGGATCACTGCTCAGTTTTAGGTACTCCAAATTCCCAGTTACCACAGACACATGACTGTTCTTTAGATAATGTATTTCCAAAGAAAAAAAGAGAACAGTAAAAAGGGTAAAAATGAGAGACAACCCCCCCACACACACACACAAATACAGTGGTACCTCGCGTTACATATGCTTCAGGTTACATACGCTTCAGGTTACAGACTCTGCTAACCCAGAAATAGTACCTCAGGTTAAGAACTTTGCTTCAGGATGACAACAGAAATCATGGTCTGGCAGCGCGGCGGCAACAGGTGGCCCCATTAGCTAAAGTAGTGCTTCAGGTTAAGAACAGTTTCAGGTTAAGAACGGACCTCCAGAATGAATTAAGTTCTTAACCCAAGGTACCACTGTACACATTCCAAATCTCCGCAGACACGCTACTTCTCTTAAAATAAGACATACATAATATATATTATAAAAAGTTAAAAAGGAAGCATAACAAGAAATATCCTCCTCAAGGACTGCCTTTCCGTGATTCCCCGGGAACCGAAATATGCGCCAAGCTGCGGCACTGGTCTTCCAGAACGCCGCGGAACACCTCAAAGCGGTGGTTCAGGTCCTTGCGGCGATGGATGTGGTATTTGGTCCCCAGGGCGCCGTGTGGGGACGGCACGCCGTAGAAAACCCGTCCGATGCGCGAGTGCACCAGAGCCATGGAGCACATCACGCACGGCTCCCGTGTCAAGTACATATCGTAGCCGGTGCAGATGTAGGGGAGCCCATCGCCCGACGAGGAGGAATGGCCTGAGTCGCCGTCCGGCTGAAGGAAGCTGCAAGCAGGGTAATCTTTATAATCATACGCCCCACCTCCCTGGCCGCAGGCCACCAGGTCGATGCAAACCATAGCGGCGTGCAGCAACGGGTTGAAGCCTCTCCTGCAGTCATGCGCCGCCGCCAGAACTCTCCCAGAAGCTTGGTCAACCACCACGGCCCCCACCGGCTCCATGCTGAGCCGCGCACCTTCTCTCGCCGCTCGGATAGCCAGCTCCATATGGCTCTGCATGGCGGCCTTTTCCGAGGGAGTGAAGAGGCAGCCGCTGAGAGCCCGGCTGATGCGCTTGTTCTCATGGAAAGAGACAGGCCAGTGCGAGGAGGCTTCCTCATACTGGGGGCGGGTCAAGGGCGGGAAGGCTGGCACCAGGGTCAAAAAAGGCTCCCCCAAGCCACGCGGGTCGACCTGGCCATCGGGGAAAAGGCCAGCAAGGGACTGTGAGCCATCCTGCTCTGGTCTGGGGCTGGCCAGGCACAGGATCATCTCCAGTGGATTGGCGCTCTCCGCGGAGACGCAGGAACGGACACGTTTCAAGTGTGCGTGGTCCCCCAGTGGGTAGGCGGCAGAGACCTCCCTCACCAGGCGGCACGCCTCCTTCTTGTCCAGGATGGGTGCGGCAAAGGCGGGGATTAGAACCACACTCTGGGATTCCCTCTCTGAAAGAACAGGAAGCACGTCCCATGTGGAGGCCCCATTCAGCTCCACCGTTTTCCGGCGCTTGCAGCCTGGCTCCATTAGGATGGGCGCATCCCTGGCATGCTCTCTGGATGGGAGGGTGAAGGAAGAGGAGAGCCGGTTATCAAAAATGCACGACACAACAAATCTACATGGTTCAGTCTTCCCCTCCCTCTTTGCAATAAGAGGCTGCATGCCATTATCATTATGATGTATGACTTCTAAAGGGTTGTAAGTGGGAAGCCTGACCTAACTATGCCTGCGAGCTCACAATCAAATAACTAGATTACTGAAAATGAGTCTGAAGCTATTGTTCTTGAAAGATAAACATTGGGAAATATCAATGCATCGCTAGAGCTCATCGAGTTACCAAACGCTGGCACAGGCTCTCTTAGTCAAACTTGTTAAAATAACTATAAGCAGAACAAGTTCTGCCCATTTCAACACACAGGCAAACACACACGCAGTGTTTTATTTTATAACCAGGCTGATACTAGGACTTCAGGTTCTCAAATGTGGTGGGAAGGATTGTGATGATTCAGCCAAGGAAGTAAGTCGCTCTGCACATGCTCAGAGGTACTCTTTAGGATTGAACCGCATGAGCCAGAGCGGGGGGAGAAGCTGAGCCCATGTGCACCTCTTTTCTTGTTCCACTTCACCCACTGAAGAAATTCACAAGTGCTGAATTTAATAATTCCCAATTATTACATTTATGACAAGCAAGTGTTATTATTATTAGGACGATGACGACCGGTCATCATTAGAATCTTCATTACCATCATAATCCCACCCTGCAAAAGTATCCCCCTATTATCGTATCCACACGTGCATCGGAATCTCACCCCCGGCTTGGCTCTGCAAAGACCACGAAGCGCATCCGCCCACGTGGTGCGCCGGGACTTCATCTGACGCTGATTGGCTAACTAAGTTCTACGACATCCACGATGTGGAAGCTGATTGGCCAGCAGCTCCTCTTTCCCCTTTCCCCTGTCCTTCTTCCCTTTCCCTGACGCTTTGGAGGAGTAAGGAGGCCGAGTCGGCACGTTGACGTAGTCTAGAAGAAGAGACAAGTAAGAGGCTAGAGCGGCCGGAAATGGTTTTCGCCGACGAGGAAGCGGAAGTGAGTTGGGTCCGGAGCTGGGACATGGAGTCCGGGCAGCAGCCGGTGTGGCGCGGCCTGGGGCTGCTGGGCAGAGGCGGGGACAACCCCGGGCTGGGCCCTGGGGGCTGCGAGAGGCGGCTGCTGTGGGTCGCGTCCTTGCTGTGCGTTTTGCTGGACCTGCAGTTGCCAGGTAACCATGGTAACCGGGAGGCGAGGGGTCGTTTCCTCTTCGCCCTCAGGGACAGGGCTTTTGCTGGCCCCGCCCCCTGCGTAGGCGATCGCCCCGCCCCTTTCTCTCTCCCCACCTCCTGTGCTGCCGGGTCCCCGCGTCAGGGTTCGCTCTGACGCCCCCAACCCACCTTCTAAGCCCCGCCCTCCACGGGCCCCGCCCTCTCACGTTGACGCGCCTTGTAGCCCCGCCCACATGCTTATAGCCCCGCCCCTTTTCATTGCCACTCTCACTTAGCATGTTTCTAGTCCTTAGTGTTCTCCATCTTCTGCAACTCATGCCTTGCACTTCTGATCTTTTGCATCCAGTGGAAGGTTCCTGCCGGCTACCAGTCAATATCTTGCGGCTGAGGTAGTCGCTCCCTCTGCCCTACGCCCAGCCTTCTCCACAAAGAGCACACTTATTATTTACCCAAACAGAGTCAGGTACAGGACCTTTCGGATAACCTAACTGAAGGGAACATTCCTTGATTATAAAACCATACGCATGTTTTCCTAATGTATCTTTAATATTTCTTCACGTGCTATACATAAGCAACGATAGCAGCTAGTATGTTGTTTCTTGGGGAAAGGCGTAACAGTACAGTAGTTTGAAGTTGGAACTGTTGCTTAGAACAAGTTTGTGATGCATATTGAAGTCTCTAGTCCAATAGATCGCTCCAGATGTTTCCACAGGTCTGGGGAGATTGTGTTGATTGCTCTTTGCATCTCATATGGGAGACAACGATAAATGACAGGATGCAGCTGTTTTTGAACACGATGGATTTAGTTTTAAAAATTATTTCATTGTCTGTTGAATTTATAAAAACAGCAAACCAGTTCTAGAGCTACTTGCCCTTCAAGCTAACTTCTGCAGTACACACCTTCTGGGTTTGCAGAAAGCTATGCAATGTGAACAAAACTGAGATTGGCAGGATACCTGGTTCTGGAACCAGTAACTGAATGGAGTTTCCAGAAGTGATCTTTCACATCTCATTCTACTTGATTCTCCCCCTGCCTCCTGGAAATGCTAAGGAGTTTTTAACAGAGTCACTTCAATAGCAGAGAGTCCAGAGAGAAAAGAAACTAATAATGCTTTAATGTGCGACCTGAACAAAAGCAGTACATAAATATGAGGAAAAATAAACAGGTTTTTGTGTTTCGTAATTAAGGCCTTGTTCACAGCAGGAAGATGTACAACTGCACATATAAGGGGAAACTCTCTCAGAACTACATAGCCAGTCAGAGTGAGTTACCTCAGCAAGCACCATGCCCTTCTGACTGGGTGCTAGGCAACACCTCCACCATTCTCCACCATTCATACAGTTAGCTGGCTAACTGTAAGTAGAATTAACCCTTAGGTTGCTAACTTAATTATCCCTGCTGTTATACTTCCAACAGGCTTGACCCTAAGATCATCTTATGCAGAGCAGGTGTCCTGCCATTTTGCTTGGGCCCCCCCTTTCCTTAAAACATGCATATGTCCTCTACTCACAACTCTCTTTCTCCTGCTCTGTTACAATGGCTATTGGTCTCACAAACCATTTCATACCTTGCAGGTTTGCTGGCTGCTGGGCAAGCTGAGATAGAAAACCACCTGGAAATGGGGCGGAAGCTATTGGCCGCTGGGCAGCTGGCTGAGGCACTATCACACTACCACTCTGCGGTGGGTGAGTAATATAGCCTGTTTTGACTGTCATCCCTGAGGCATCTAACTGACAGGTGTCTTACGGGCTTATGCTGCCCTCTTAATGTCGGTGTGTCACTTGACTTCTGAGCACTCTAAGGGTATAAGTTAGAGGGCCTTGGAATGTAATGGTTCCACTAACTGATCTCTTGTTTTTTGTATAATTTTAAATCATAAATATAGCTTCAGCTGGTTTAGAGAAATGCATGTGAAAGAGCTAAACCACAGCAATTCCAGTCTGTCCCTATAATTATCAGTTTATGTTGCTACTCATGACAGGGTGCAGATGCAGAACCGTAAGCATCTCACACAGTATACGTTCTGTTAAGCATACTGACATTTATTACTGTTTGGTTTTTTCCCCCTCGACTCTCCTAGAAAGTGATCCCAAAAACTACCTTACCTACTACAAACGGGCAACTATCTACTTAGCCATGGGCAAGTTCAAATCGGCGCTCCCTGACCTCTCAAAGGCTATTGAGCTCAAGCCGGATTTCATGGCTGTAAGTCGTGTGTGTGTGTGTGTCTTCTCCCCCTCCCCACTAAGACCTACTTAATGGGAAAGGATGCAGGGAGAAAGGTTTGTTTCCAGCTCAGAGAACCAGTTTGAATGATTCAAATCAGTCCCCTGCTTCCTCTTTCAGTGCCTCTTGCATGGGTGGAGAATGATTCTGAATAGCATGGGCATGCTGGCAGATGCCATTGATACAGGTTATAACTAATCCGCAGCCATTATTTGTTTTATTTTTAAAGATGTTGTATCCTGTCTTCTGATCAGCTGATTTCAGGGATAGCTTGCAACACATTAGATCCATACGGTTTTGTTATTTTAAAATTGCCTAGCAGCCCTTGCGTGTCTTCCCCTCAATACTGCTGTCCCAAGGCAAACGGCACAGAGCAAGTTCCCTTTTTTGGGGGAAGGGGTGGCAAGCTGCAGGGAGATAGTAAGGTCCCTGCAGCTGCTCACCTTGTACTGATGTCTAAGGCCAGGCTTGTCTTCCCTTTACCGTGGTGTCCTTCTAAGAAATCAGAATGCATGAGCAGCTTCGTGCGGTGGGTATATTTGTGAAGTTTCACATTTTGCTATACAGTGGTACTTTGGGTTACATACGCTTCAGGTTACAGACTCCGCTAACCCAGAAATAGTACCTCGGGTTAAGAACTTTGCTTCAGAATGAGAAAAGTAATCTCGCTGCAGCATGGCAGCAGAGGGAAGTCCCATTAGATAAAGTGGTGCTTCAGGTTAAGAACAGTTTCAGGTTAAGAAATTCGGAATTCCGGAAGGAATTAAGTACGTAACCAGAGGTACCACTGTATAATTGGGGCCCTGCAGATTCGTACTCTATCCTTCCTTGCGTGTGTTTGCGATGTGCACAAGCGCGAATGGTTTGTGCACAAGCAGTTTGTGCAACCCAACAGATAAGCTTCCTGTTTTCAAGCAGGAAATGATTGTTGTCACCCAAACCTACTTCCCTGTCAGACTTGTCTTAAAGGATCTGGGGGGTTTTCTGTCCCACAGGCCCGATTACAGCGAGGCAACATCCTCCTGAAACAAGGCAGCATGCAGGAAGCCAAGCAGGACTTTGAAGCTGTGGTAAGCAGCCTGCCCACATCCACATCACAGGGGCAGGAGCCTCATCTAGCGATGCACACTCATTTTCATGTCTGGCAATGGACCGCTGGTGAAATATATTCTCTTGCCTCCTTAGAATTCCATTTCAGGGCCGTCAGAAAGACTGTGTAGCTCAGCATCAGTAGCCTGCAGCACCAGTCTCCGCTCAACACTGGCTGCGTACACACCATCCATTAAAATCTTCCCACAAATAATCCTAGGAATTGTAGTTTAAGGGTCTAGTTTAGTTCTGGGGGGGTAAACTACAGTCCTCAGGATTCTTTGGGCTTGTGCGTTCTAGCCAGTTAGGAAGTTGCGGCAGCACACATTGGATTCAAACCTTGCAGTTATGCAAAATATTGCTTTCACTGTGGTGTTTAAATAATACCACGTATTATGCATTGGTGGGAAATATGGGGGAGTGTAGTTCTTTGGGAAAGTTTGCTTTGTAACAAGCAGGAATGGTCCAGGAACGGTGGGATATCTGCCCAGCTGAGCACCTTGGGAAATTACCTTTCTCATAATTTCCAATCTCCAAATACATCGCAACACCATTCTTCTTTCTGTATTGGCCCCCATCTTTTCTCCCTGTTTCAACTACATGGACATTTTCGGACCTGCTCAGAGATTTGGATCAACATCTTAAAATATTGAGTGACCTAATACATGCGTTCTGTTTTATTTTATTGAAAAAATGATCTCATCAGCTCCAAAGTAATCCGGAAAATACAGAGGCCCAAAGGCAGCTTGCGCGTGTCTCTGAGCTCGAATTTTCCATGCAAGAAGCCCGTACTGCCTTCCAGAGGAAGAACTACCTGGGAGCAATCAGTATTTTGGATCAAGCAATTGAGGTATGTTGTCTTCAACTCCTTCCTGGCTTTATATTCTTATTTAAACAGCACCATGGGTCAGGTTAACGGGTCTCAGGAACTTGCCTTCCTGTCCTTATAATGAGGTAGTTGGTATGAGAGTGCTATGAAGTCTACAAAAGTCATTCAGCTGTGTTGAAGTACAGTCACACAGCAAGCACCTCTTGGGCCAACATGTGGGGGTGTTTAACTCGTCCAGTTGTTTGGAATGGCTGGGGAGAAGTGGTGTCTGTGTGAGCGAGAGGACGAACCCTCTTTTTAACCTGCGTTGTTAGAACATTGAGACCAGAACCTGGAAGACCAGCGTTCCAAACCCCATTCAGCTGTGAAGCTCATTGCTTGACCTCGGGCCAGGCACTCTCTCTCACCCTCACACACCTCATAAGGTTGTTGTGAGGATGAAGTGGAAGAGGAGAAAACCATGTACACCACCGTGTAGGAAAAATGGAAGTGGAATAAATAGCATGATCCTTGTCGCCTTCTGTCTCTTCCAAAGGGAGTGAGTGGTGCTGTGGTCTAAACCACTGAGCCTCTTGAGCTTGCTGATTGGAAGGTCAGCGGTTTGATGGGGTGAGCTCCCGTTGCTCTGTCCCAGTTCCTGCCAACCTAGCAGTTCGAAAGCACACCAGCGCAAGTAGCTAAATAGGTACCACTGCGGTGGGAAAGTAAATGGCATTTACGTGTGCTCTGGTTTCCGTCATGGTGTTCCGTTGTGCCAGAAGCAGTTTAGTCATGCTGGCCACATGGACCTGGAAAGCTGTATGTGGACTTAACTGCCCAGAGGTCCTTTGCCTTTTACCTTTTACCGCTGTCTCTTCCCTCATCTCCACCCACCCCGGTCACCTGAAGCTGGAAAAGAGCAGGGAAAATCTAATGGGCTTGGCACACTATCAAGTCCTGGGGTGGGGAATAATAAATAAATTTTATTTATACAGACACACAAAACTCTGAATAAATATAGCAGAAATGAGTTTTTGGGTTGGGAGGGCCATAGCTGAGCATTAGAGCACCTCCATGCAATGAGGCCCAGGTGCATGTTAGGATTCCTGCTCCTGACAGTGTAATCCCTGGCATTTCCAGGTAGGTAGGGTGGAGAGAGACTCCCTGACTGAAACCCTTGAGAGCCAGGGTGGACAAGTCAGGGTGGACTATCCTGAGCTAGATGGCCCAGCCACCCAACTCTCTGTAAGGCAACTTCCTCTGCTACCAACTAAGGTTCTAAAGTAAAAACAGCAGGAGGCTTTGAGGATATTAACTTCCTCTCCTCTGTGCCCCAGATCTCCCCCTGGGACCCAGAAGCAAAAGAGCTGCGTGCTGAGTGCTATCTGTACCTCGGCGACTACAACAAGGCCATCATGGACCTGAAACCCACCACCAAGCTGCGTAACGATAACAGGGCGGCCTTCCTGAAGCTCAGCAAACTCTATTACAACTTGGGGGAACACGAGGAGTCCTTAAAGTGAGTGGTGCATGCATGCATATGTTGTGCGGTGTGTTACAGACACATGCAGGGGGGCCATTCTATACTTCTTATCCCAGGCACTGTGTCTGGATTTAATAATAAAGCAGCTGGGGAGCAGCATTGCACAGGAAGGGAGTTTCTGCACCCCTCTGGCCTTTCCAGTGTCTTGGATCCCTCCTGTTGCATCTAGACCCGGTCTCTTTTCCTCCACAGCCAAGTGCGGGAGTGCTTGAAGCTGGATCAGGACGACAAGGACTGCTTCTCCCACTACAAGCAAGTGAAGAAGCTCGCCAAGCAGCTGGAATCTGCCGAGGAGCACATCAGATCTCAGAGGTGCGCTGAGTACCTCCCTATGTCCACCCGCCTTAACCTTCCTGGGTTACTTGTTGGCATGGGTGGCTGGCTAGAAGCCGGCAGGGCACATCGAGTGCCTTCTGTGCACATCGTTACGCTCTCAGCATATGCAAAGGGTGCACAGAGGAATGCTCTGTTCTGTGGCATTTTATGAGCTTGCGGGTTGAACCCATATGCATATATTTGTTCAGTGTGTATCATCGCTTCTGTTTCTGCTGTTCACAGAGAAGGGAGGACACCTGTGCAAGACTCTGTTAAGTACATAAACAGTTTCTGAGACTTCAACAGGCGGCATATTTACAGTACATCAAGTCTAGTAAATGTAAACTGATATTCTTGAGATAAGAAAATAATAACCAAGTTGCTGGTTCAGAGCAAGGATTCATCTAGGCAGGCATCCCACACGAAACGTGATTCTGGGAAGTTCACTCCCAAATCATGGGTATCCTTCACGAATCTGTCTGCTCCCTTTTTTTTTTTAAAGTCACATGAAGCTGCCTTTTATCCTGAGTCAGACCACTAGCCCAGAACTGATTCTCTGAGGTCAGGTCAGAGCGTCTTTTCCCATCTGTGAAGCCCATGGTTGCTTTAACTGGAGATAGACAGTACTGAAAATGGTGCTTTGCCTGCTGAGAACACCCGGCTCTCTAACAAGGCAGATTCATATGACTTTAAAAGGGGAACTATCAGACAACTTTGTGGCAAACGGGTCTTAGCAGCTACCCATGGAGCCATCTAAGTTGGTCACCATTTCTTGTAGTAGTGAGTTTTGTAAGATAATCATGTGTTGCGAAGTGCTCCTTCACCTATTGTTCATCTTGTTTGTTTCATTTCTCCAGTGCTGTGAGAAAAGAAAGCTCTCCCTTCCGTACTATTGATAATTTAATAGATGTCTATCATGTGGTTTTGTTTGTGAAAACACAATGTTGCTGCACTCCGGGGCCCGGCAGCAATCTTTGCACTTGAGTAGAGTGATAGCAGAATAATCACAGCCTTTCTGTTACACAGATGGACCACGAAATCAGACCAATCACATTCAGTTCTTTGGCTGCTCGTTATCCCTTTGTCGATGGGAGCATAGTGCAGCCTCGAGGTTCGCATGCTCCTTTCCTTTCCATCTACAGTTGTCTTCTCTGTCATTTCCCGGGGACAGGTACGAAGATGCCATTGAGAAGTATAAAGCAGCCATGAAAACTGAGCCCAACGTGGAGATCTATACCAGTAAGGCAAAAGGACGCATCTGCCACTGTTTATCCAAGGTAAGGCAGTGTGGTCCAGCCTGTCTGAGGAGATGAATAGGAGCTGAAACAAACTTGGCTTTGTTTTGTTGTTTAATTAAAGGAGTAAACAATCAAATGCAACTACAAGAGTATTTGACATAAATGAATGAAAATTCATAACACTTGTATTGCAACTTTGTCCATTTTAGAATGAATTCTGACAGTCTTTGAAGTAACAGAGATGTCAGTTTTGAAATCTAGGGATCTGCATTTGGTTTCCTGATCTGCCGCTGGTATCCTATCTGTGCCTGGTCATGTTCTCAGCCTTCTCATGCTTCTTCCTTCCTGTAGAAATGAAACTTGTTGGCCTACAATCAGAGTAGCCAACAGGGTGACCTCCAGTTGGTGTTGGACTCCCTAACAGCCATCAGTCCCCCCCGCCAGCACGGCTAATGGACAGGGTTGACCGGAATCATCCATCAAGCATCTAGAGGACACCCTGTTAGCTGCAACTGGCCTGTATCTCAGGAAAGATTTGAACCGCCATCTCTCTACTCTATAACAGTGATCCACTGGATCAGAATAGATAATGGGGCAGATATGGTGGGGGGACATGATTGCTGGGAAACAAGTAGCAAAAAAATTCCCTCCCCTTTTTGTGTGCCACAGAGCAAACAGCCTCATGAAGCTATAGACATTTGCACAGAAGCCCACCAACTCGACCCCAGGAACATCTTCATCTTGCGTGACAGAGCTGAAGCCTATATCCTGAACGAGGAGTTTGAAAAAGGTAAAAGAGTTGGTGATGCAGAGGACCATGTAGAGTATGGTAGGGTATCAGTGGTAGAGTATCTGCTTTGCCTGCAGAATCATAGAGTTGGAAGGTACTCTGGTTCAGGGTTTTCCCATACTTGGGTCTCCAGCTGTTTTGGGACTGCAGTTCCCATCATCCCTGACCACTGGTCCTGCCAGCTAGGGATGATGGGAATTTGTAGTCCAAAAACAGAAGGAGACCCAAGTTAAGAAGCCTTGATCTAGTCCAGCCCCCCTGCTCACTGGACCAAGCGCAGGGTCATTGCTTGAAAATTTTCCAAAATTTCCATTTTATTTTATTACACTAATAAAGGGTTAGGCATGTGGCTGCTTCTTTTTTTTTAAGGAATATTTTATTTTCTCTGGATTTCATGCACTTTGGTCAGATTCCAGGTGCGCAGACCTGCGAGATAATGACATTAAGAGACAAAAGTTGAAAAAAGCGGCTGCAAAAAAGTCAATTTTTCCTCCTGTATTAAAGCCAACTCTTTCCTTGTAGCGGTTGAAGACTATCAAGAGGCCAAAGAGTTTGATGGTGAAAATGAGGAATTAAAAGAAGGGTTGGAGAGGGCACAGAAACTGCTAAAGCAATCGAAGAAACGGGACTATTACAAAATCCTTGGGATTCGGAGGTATGCACTTTCCATAACTCTTTCCTGGGCCAGAATTGGACCTGGAAACAAATTGAGAGACAATACAGCTGATACAGCATTGGTTTAATAGAGTCAAGAAACTGAGCTCACAACCTCCTCATTTCTTTTGAACCCATTGATGCTTGTGGACAGTTTTCAAGGGCAGCCCCATGTAGTATGCATTGCAGTAGTCTAATCCAAATGTGATCTCTATGTGTAACTGTGGTAAGTTCAGCCTGTACCAGAGAAGGCTGCAAATGAGACACACCAGCCCAAGCCAGGCAGAAGTGTTTCTGACCACAGCCACCACCTGTCTATTCTTGAATTCATTGGGACTTGACTTTGACTGAATCAGACCTTAAGTCATAGCTTTGCCAGAGCATAGTTTTAAACTTTTCAACTCTTGCCCTCCCCACCCAGCCACCCGGCGCTCACAAAAGGATATAAATATTGGAACGACTTCAATAGTTTTAAAGACAAAGTCAGCCTGGCCAGGTTTCGGGTAAATATTTGATGCGGCAAAGTAGATGTACTGGTTGGTTGGCAGAGTGTATTTATGAGGTGGCAATGGGGAAAAACAACTCTCTTGCAGCTCTAATTAGGTTGCTGCAGGAATATGCAAGCCTTTGGGTTTGCACAGGAATCTCTGGTAGACATGAAAGATTTCTGTATATCTGCAGAGCTTGCATACACTGAATGCTGAGCTCAGTTGGCCAAACATAGCGAGGTCTTTTTACTTATGTACTTTGCTTCTCCTATTCTTCTGAAACCCATGGCACTGGAACCCATGTCCGAGCTGTGCAGTCTGTGGAAACTTTCATGCTTAAATTTGTTATCATTCACATCACTGAAGAAAATGCAGGAAAAAACTTAGTTTCTGTTTCCCCCCTGTCCCCCACTTCTAGGAATGCAAATAAGCAGGAAATCATCAAAGCCTACCGGAAGCTAGCTCAGCAATGGCACCCTGACAATTTCCAGTCTGAAGATGAGAAAAAAGAGGCTGAGAAGAAATTCATTGACATTGCAGCTGCTAAAGAGGTCCTGACAGATCCAGGTAAGGCCTTCCTGATTAAATTCAGGTTTGTGTGTGCTTCACTGTAGGCGATAAATTGGTTGTTTTGCACAACGAGTGCAAGAGTACATATTTGCCATGTGTTCTTTTTTGCTAAGATAGCCTGCCCCTTAACCACTAGAATTTTGGGAGTATGCAATGGGTTACAACTCTAGCAGTAGAATGGTGATTGCATCTAATTTCCCTGTACTTGCTAGCATTTAAACTCCAAATTTCCTCCAAGGAGCTAAGGATGCTGTGCATGGTACTTCTTCCCCTTTAACCTTGCAACAGTCCTGTGTGGGCAGATCAAGCTGTGAGTTGGTGATAGTCCCATCATCACCCTTGTAACCTTGGTGAATGTGTGCGATTTGAATCCGTAACTCTCTCCTAGTCTAACCTCTGCATCTCACTGATTCACGCAGACAGGGACCACGTAGGGTTGTGGGGTTTTTTGTGTCAGGGGCTTTTGTCTACACTATCTAGAACACAATAAGTATTTAAATGGGTCTAGAAACATCCACGTATGGAGGGGATGAGATCTTTCAGATTTGAAAATAACAAGGAGTGCTTGAGAGATACGAAGACCAGAGCTGGCTCCCTCCTTTTCTCCCACCCACGTGTGTCCACCCAGATAGGCCTTGCACCTCTTTTGATCCAGGGGCCGTCTCAGCAACCTCTTTCCCACCCTATGTTTTTGTTCTCTGTTTTCTTCCCCCTTCCAGAAATGCGGCAGAAGTTTGACTCCGGCGAGGACCCCCTGGACCCAGAGAACCAGCAGGGAGGGGCAGGACACCAGCACCAGTGGCCCTTCGAATTCAACCCTTTTGGTTCTGGGAACTTCCACTTCAAATTCCACTTCAATTAACTTGGAACCGAGCCTTGGAACAGGAAGGCAAAAAAACAAACAAAAAAAACAAGACCCTGTGGCTAGCAAGCAGGTGCCTGGACCTCTGAGCTGTGCTTTGTCCATGCAGACACTGCAAAAGTTACCAGCCCCCATCAGAAAACAACCGCTATGCAATGGGGGTGGGTGGAGGTGGCCTCCCCGCTGCATCCAGACATCCCTGGCCCAGATGTCCGGATGCTCTTTCCGACTAGAGCTGAGGCCTGAAGAAAGATGGTGTCGTCTTGTCTCTGGTTGTGGTTCCCAAGCAATGGGGGGCTGCAAGGTGAGATGTAACCAAGCCTTGCATACCTTTCTGAAAATCCTGCCTTTCATGGGAGTCCTTGCAACTCTGAGTTTATGTACACGGCCCGACTTAGTTGGACGATGGGCTGTACCTCTCGTGTCTGCTGAGATTCATTTTTTTTTAAGCTGGTGGTAAGGAAACTGATTCCTCCTTCCCTGCCCTCACTCCCATCTATCCTTAAATAAATCCTTCACTGCCATATAACTACCAACCCGTTCAAATTGTAAAAAGAAAAGTAGGCAGGAGATTATACCTGTTGGCATGCATTTGAGTTTGCCTACCTGAGAAAATATTTGTGTAATGTGAAGTGTGGGGTGATCTCTGCTGATGGCAGAAAGCACCGCTGAGTCCTGCAACGGCCTTCCTCTGTTGCAACACCCTTAATTTTGTTGATGCAGCTATTCATCTTGAAAAGGCAGTGAGAAGCGCCTCTTTATCAACACCCACCAGGTTTTGCGGTGGTTTGGGCCACCCTATGAAGTGGCAAGATCCATCTCTTCTTTTGGTGGGGTGGATTCCGGTATTGCACATTTGACTTCTCCCTTCCCCCAAATACAAAGGGAATAATGGTCAAGAACCCAGTCTGGATTGGGGGAGAGGAGCTTAGGTCATACACCTTGCCCTAAAGTTAAACCCTGTGAAATCCCCCTCCTTCCTTGCCACCGTTTGACTGTTACAGTGTGTGAATTGCGAGTCTGATATTCTACCACCCAAATGAGGGATTCTTGCCTCCCTCAATTTACTCCAGTTAGGCGAATTTTTAACTTTTCTTCCTCCTGCTCCAGGGCAAAAGGGGGAGGCACTGCTGTCCCCTTACCCCACCCACCCACCCCAAGACAGCACAGTACTTCTATAAAGCCTGAACCTGCTCTAGCCGTTGCCCAGGGGCCGAGGGAAGGAACGTTAAGGAGGGGGTGTTAAACCACCACCTATTACCAAAAGTGTCAAGATTAAACGTTTGTATTGCAAAGCTCTCGCTTGTCTTTCTGTCTTGCTGCTTCAAGAAACGAGGGTTGGCCACGTCTGGAGGATCTGTCTCATCACAGCCCCACAAATTCTCTTGTACTTGGAAGCAGAAAAAGGGTGCAAAAAGAGCCCTGGTTTATCAGATCAAAGACCCATCTAATCCCATCGTCTTCTTTTCACTGTGGCCAGTCAGCTGCCTGTAGGAAGCTTGCAAGCATGACTTCATTTTACCCTAAATGTCTCATCTTTTGAAGCCATTCCCCCTTTGCTTGGAGGGGGGGACATATTAAGTCATACGAATGCAAGGCTTTCTGCAACAAAGACCTTTATCTGGCATTATTGAGCTGACCCAGCCTATTAAGGGAGGAATCCTTTGTGACACCCACACACCCCTCCCGAAAACGATTTACTAATGCCTTCTGCACAGGTTTGCAAGGAGAGAGGTGAGTTGCATGTACAAGCCTATACGGTTCCCTAGAACTTGGTGGGGCATGCATGGCAGGATGCGGCCCTCTAGGTGTCAGACAAGTCTCATCCATCATCACCCGTGCTGAGGGATGATGGGAGTTGTAGTCCAACATATGGACACCCACAGGTTCTTCACCTTTGCCTTCAGTGTGTTCCATGTTAGGGAGAGCAAAGTAGTTTAACCATGCCTTTCTCTGGTCTCTTGTGTGTATCAACGAACCCAGAACAACTTGCAAGGCTTTGCCAAATCCAGTATGTTACGCCTTGGGAGCAAACAGAAGTGGATTCGGTACACCGCACTGCTGAAAGGACTTCTTTCCGGAGCCCCCAGGCAGTATCAGGACTGGGGCACAGGAGTCTTTTTTGCAAGAGGATAAATAGAGGTTTTTTTGGCCCTCCTGCAGTTAGGGATGGGGAGATGAATGATAGGACCTCGCAAGGTTGTTGTGACGATTATGGAGCTCCCTGTACCATTGTCCCTAAATGCTAAGGGCCTTTTTTGGTTAGTGTGTGTGTGTCAGTGTGGTAAGAGTCGGGGTTGTGATGAGCAGCTCCTGAATGAAAAGATCGGAACATGGAGCATTGCCATTGAAGTCTGGTCCGAAGTCATTTCAGAGCACTTGGTTGTAGGACGTTGCCATCAGTCCTGGCTGGGTTACCCTACTTTAGTTCTGTTTAAGAATCCTGCTTTTATTTTAGTTGGGTTCCTGCAGCTGGTTGTAAACAGCAGACACCAGTCAATTGTCATTGAAAACAATGTTCATTTTATATATATAATATATAAATCTGAAATGTACAAGGTAGTGCTTCTAGCGCACAGGTCATGTGCTCCCAGAGTTGTTTTTCTCAGCATTGAGTGAGCAAAGACTTGGTTCAAAGTCAAAGCAAAATTCGCGTTTTCTTATCTATAGGAGTCCAGTTGCTCCTCTTCTCAGATGGAGGGAGGCCAAGTTAACCCAGGCTGCCGTGTCTCCACGTTGAGTATCTTTGAGTAATACTTATCACAAAGAGGAGCTGTTGAACGTTCTGTACAGGTCCAGAGTCCAGGTCCTATTATTAACCTCCTTATGTGTGATTGTCAGAAGTAGAGATCCCTTTCAACCAGAGCTTTTGGAGGGCTTTCAAGTCACCAGCTAGGTGTGTCATATCCTGAAATGCAAAACTTTTCAATATGCACCTCCAGCTGCATTTGAACTTCCTGCCCACTGGGAGGAAGGCTGACACGGCCCTTTCAGCAGAAATATCCAAACCAGCAACACTGCATGAAAGGGTGACCTCAATTTTCTTACACACCCTGTTTCAGGAGCCAAGCCAGGAGGTGTTATTGCAGAACAAAGGCTCACCTTTGGTGCCAAGTTTTCAACCAGCCCATGTTGCTGTGCCTTTCACAGGGTGATTTGTAACTCTGCAGAGATTATAACATTGACCCCTGCTGTGGAGCCACTTTCCCTAACCTGATGGCCTTCAAATGACGCTGGACTCTCATCTCTAGTCAGCTCCGGCCACCATGGCCAGCAATCAGGGAAGATGGGAGTTGTAGTTCAACCACATCTGGAGAGCACCAGAGTGGGAGAGGCTGCTGTGGAATAAACCAGGGCATAGCAGCTAGCGCTAATCTGATAGGTGGCAGAGGTGTGCTCTAAGCAGTAGGTAGTAATTGGGGGGGGGAGACTCCTAGCGGAACCAGAAAGTACCCAAAACTGTATTTTCAGCTGTGAATTGCTGGAGATAATATATACATCCAATGCCATGCTTGATGAATGATGACAAAGCACTGGATCTTTTGATCTAACTGATCCCCATCTTCAAATACAAAAGGGCAATCAAAAAACCCTAAGGCTAGTAAGAGAGGGATGAGATACAGAAGCAACCCTGGTTTGCTTTACAACACAAGACCTGATAGTTCTTGCAAAAGCTTAAATTTCTACAGGATGTCTAGGTTTTTTGACATTTGAAGCCACTTTGCTACTTCAGGGAGTGGGAATCTGAGGTCTTCTGTCTATGGTTGGACTTCCCATTATCCCAGACCAAGCTGGCTGGGGCTGATGGGAGTGGATGTCCAATGGGGAGGGCACCTTTAAAAAGCCACATCTTAAAAGTTTGTCTTATGAATCCCCGAAGCAATCCTATTCTGTATCAGCAAGCCTCAGTACTGTCATCCTATTCAATATCATTTCTCTCCCCCGCCCCCCATCCAGAAAACTCAATCATTGTGGGTGTTGTCGGGGTGTGCAGAGATAAGAGGTACAAAACCTACAGAAAATACTATTTTGTTGCTATTTACAAGTGAATTTGAATTCAGACTACTGCTTTCCCCATAGAGACCAATCCAAGTATTTGGCGCTTTGGGCTGTAGGAAGTAAGGATAAAAACCAGTTCCTCTCAGCACGTTCAAAATCTTTTTTGGCCTCTCTCCCGATCACCAAGTGCATATGACCTGTGCAAGTGTCTGGAACAGACGAGAAGTTATTTCTCCCAAGAGAAATGGTCTGATTTCATTCCCTGCCTCTGTCGTTTTAAGAAGCCATCTGCTCCCAGCGACACGCTAGCCAAAACCAGCAAGCCAGGGTTAACTGACCAACAGGGAACCGTCTCCATTCAGAGGAGAAGGAAGGCAAAATCATTTTATGTAGACAGCTCTCCTCCGCATTGAAGAACTGAACACCATGCAGCATTTTCCAGGGTCGGTTGTGGATTCAGCGTCTCTGTCCATTTCCTGTTACCACCATCATCACCAGAAATGTCCAAAGGAATTGGAGCAGAGAGTGGGATACGAGAGAGAGAAAGAGAGCCCTTTCTACCATGTCTTGCAAGCTCCATAAAAAAAGCCTTTAGGTTCCTGTGCAACCAGGAAAGCATCTGAAAACGTCTTTTTTGGAAAAACGCAAACAGAAAGGGGTGGTCACCCCACTGCAAAGGCTTAGACGTAAGCGTTCTTCCCATACTTTCCGTTGCTGCTGGCGTTAGACTCCCTGCGGGGGCGAGGGGCTGTGTTGGTGGGGGCCGACAGGACACTCTTGGGGGCCTTGTATGGGTAAGTGTAGCTGTGAAGACACAAAAACAGATGTTGGGGGGTTACTATTTGATAAATTTTGATGTGGCTTCGGCCTTGTTTGCTTCCTCTCAGAATTGCCCCCACCCCTTTCCTTGCTGCTTTCATAACCATCCCACTTTGTAAGGGAACCTGTGGCCTTCTGTAGATTTGTGAGACTACAACTGCCATCATCCCTGACCATAGGTCATGCTGGCTGGAGCTGATGGGAGTTGGAGTCCAGCAACCTCTGGAGTCCCTGTCCCTGGAGAAGACAATTCTAAGCTAGATGGACAAATAGCCATAAGGCAGGAAGTCATGACAACCTCTCATTGCCTTCCCTTTTCTTTCTGGGTAATAATAATAATAATAATTTATTACTTATACCCCATCCATCTGGCCAGGCCTCCGCAGCCACTCTGGGTGGCTCCCAACAGGATATTAAAAACACAATAAAACATCAAACATTAAAAGCTTCCCTAAACAGGGCTACCTTCAGATGTCTTCTAAAAGTCAGGTTGTTTATTTCCTTGACATCTGATGGGAGGGCGTTCCACAGGGCGGGTGCCACCACCGAGAAGGCCCTCTGCCTGGTTCCCTGTAACCTCACTTCACGCAGTGAGGCAACCGCCAAAACATCGTCCAAGCTGGACCTCAGTGTCCAGGCAGAATGATGGGGGTGGAGACACTCCTTCAGGTATACTGGGCCAAGGCCATTTAGGGCTTTAAAAGTCAGCACCAACACTTTGAATTGTGCTCAGAAACGTACTG